ATTAACCTAATTTTTTTTATTCAATAAAATAAGAATGTAGTAATTTTGAACAATCGCATACCCTCAGCTGTTTAAGATTGGAACAGATGTGAGGGGATATTGTTGGTGCAAGCAATGCTCTTGTTTTTTCCACTTTCACAACATTCCGCAAGCTAGGCAAAACCACAAGTGTTAGTACTTTAAGGCTATTCATAACTGTCAAGTAGATGAAATGATGACAAAGAGACCACGCACACTATCCCTCGGCAGTTTTCCAAAGCACATGTTCGCAATTGAGTAAAATCTTTCTGAAAAATAGAAATATTACCAACCGCATTGCAGGATAAAATCCTCAAATCCTGAAGGTCATCTGGAAGGACAAACTCATCTTCTTCTCCTATCACGCATCTGAATAAAATTACTTGTTTAGGAAGATCATTATTGTGGAACTTCCCAAAATACCCCTCCTTATCTTCGTCTGTGTGTCTCACTCTATTTTTTGGCATTAATTTCCCGACATCCAGTTCCATGTTGAATCCCAACTAATCCAGAATCGAACTGCTTGGAATTTTAAAGAATCTCTCTCAGTGCCTGTTTCTCCTTCCATTTTCATAAAGTAATGACTGGGTCTTCCAAAGTGGTTCAACTTGCTAACAAAATTGCTGAAGTCTTCTAGCCTATCAAATCCGCCTTCAAACAATTCCAGCATCTTCAAACCTGCTACTTCTTCTCCCTTTATTTCACTTGGAAAAATCCGATGTTTACGTAGGTATTGGAGGTGGAAGAGGTTACTGATTTTTCCTCTTGGTAGCATCCTCAGATTGGGACAAGATAAATCAAGATATTCTAGTTTTTCTAACATTTCAATGCCTTCAGGAGCCTCACGAAGGCCTGCTCCATCCAAATCCAACTTCTTCAGTGCTTTAAGCTTTGACAAGGAAGGCATGCGCTTTAAACCCTCACATCCACAGAGGATCAATGCAGTGAGATATTCCAAATTACATATGGAATTAGGTAGAACCTCAATGCCAGTTCTAGAAAGATCAAGAAACTTCAGCAGGGGCATGTTAGCAAAAAAACACTCTGAAATTTGTCTCAATTTGTTATTGCCCTCCAAAATCAAGGTTGAGAGCATCAAGCATTTGGGGGACATATTTTGAGGGATATATGATATTTCATTTTTCATGAGGGAGACCTTGTTTAGATCTGCATTCCATTCATCCTCATTCGGTATCTTTATCAATCTCAGTCCAGCTTTTACCATAAACCTGGCAGGACCTGTGCTCTTGATGCGCAATGCCATGTCCCTCACAACATCATGCATCTTAACACACGCCTTATCATAGGCTTCCTCTAACAAACAACAGTTTAAAAGCCTATTTAAAATAGCATTTCCTTTATCATGCATTTCTCTTCTGCTTCCTAATTTTTCAACAATTCCCTCACAAATCCAGTCTTCAATTAGGTCTTTTCTTCTAATCTTCCAATCTTCCGGATGCAACGAGCAATATAAGAAACACTCTTGGATGCTTGAATTTGGTAGACGGTCATAACTGAATTTCAAACGTTTAAATATCTCGTCTTCTGAATCTTTCTCTATGCCCACCGCGCAGTGACACAATTCACGTAATGCATTTCTCCACTCATAAATATCTTGTACTCCTCTCATGCACCCCGCAATGACGACAATGGCCAATGGCAAACCAGCACATTCAGCCACTATAAGCTTTAAAATCTCTTCCAAATTGGGAATTCGTAGAACATCTCTCCCAACCTTATCTAAAAACAAGTTCAAAGACTCTTGCTCCGATAGAGGTGGTACTTTAACTACCTGACATCTCAAGTAGTTGCATACAGCAATCGATCTGCTAGTAATAACAATTTTACACCCATTTTCCATTGTTGGTTTTGGGATTCCAATTCTTTGAAGAGTAAATAGATCCCACACATCATCTAAGATCAGTGCATATTTAACATTTTTCATAGCCATCATCAGTCTTGATGCCCGATTCAATTCATCCCCACAATCTGAAAGACTTATTTTCATTGCCCTGGCAATGTCATCTTGCAATCTGAAAACATTAAGAGGATATGATACTGTAAGCCAGACAACCTTCTCAAACCTAATAGCCCTATCTAGTATCAGTAATTGATTATGGATGTGTTTCATAACAGTGGTTTTGCCAACTCCACCGATTCCACAAACTCCAATAATTCCAACCTCGTGACTCATAATGTATTCCCAAATTTTTTCCTTCACATTAACCTCGCCCACCATATTCTCTGTTGGCAAAGTGATTCCAATAGGTGGAGACCTTTCAATTACAAGATCTTCAGGAAAACTACCTTGATCGTAAATTTCCCTCACATGTTGAATCTTTTGACGAACACGTCTTCCAAGGTTACCACGTGACAAGTATGAAACATTCTGCACCTGTTCTTCAATATCTGGCATTTCAATTTCAATGACCTCCCTTGCATCTTCAAGCCATCCCT